TAGTAACTGTTAAATGAGAAACTATTTTGTTCTGTAAGCCTTCATCTTAAGTGAGAATAACAGCACAATTGGAAGAGTGTAGTCAATGTCACTGAACTGTGCATGTAGAAATATTTGAAATGGTGTATCTTTGGTTATGTGTATTTTTACCAAAAAAAAAAAAAAAGTTTGAGAATTTAGAGGGTTAATATATTGTGGGGTTGTTAACCAATGTCATAAAACAACATGTGTACTACTGTTTCAGGAGAAACTATTTTTTCTGTAAGCCTTCACCTGAAGTACAATAAAATATAAAAAAAAAGAAAAAGGTATTATGAAAAAAAAATGCATAATACTCAAGGCAGACATTTTTTACTAGTTAAGCTAAACTATTGTTTGGTTTTAAGAAGAATTCAGGGCATATTTCTGGTTTAAGGTTAAAAGATTATCTCCAGGCAATAGTTTCAGGGGTTCATCCAACCTTCATGGCTCCACAAAATCTGGAGTCCATGAAAATTTGGAATTCTGTTCTCCATTTTCCTCCTTTTGATCAGGATTCTTCTACAGAATCTTTGATCAAAATGTTCAGTAATGGTAGCCGGGCACCATCTAGTTCTTCTGGTCTCATGGCAAAGGAGGCAGTTAGTTATTCATGGAGGCATTTAGCCACACATTGCATATCCTCCTCCTATTCCTGACTCTCCTTCTTCCTCTGTTGCTCCAGGTGAATTGAGATCAATTGTCATGCCTTGGATGGCCACTTGCAAGCTTTTAAGACCCCATATAATAAACTAGGAGGTAGAACAGAAACATCAAACGTGTCATTAGGCCAATTAACTGGGATGTTCCATAAAACCATGACCCTAAACCTCCAAACCAAGGAACCAAATCCCATTAGGTTTTTGGTTGTAAATAAGCAGTCTCAGCAGCTACTCTTTTTTTCTCCATAGGGTTTTCAATGGTTGATCTTTTGGAAGTAGACTGCCAGGCTTTCTTCCCCTATCTTGACTTCTAAGAACACAGATTTATTTTTCCTTAATTGAGGTGAAATTCACATAACATAAACTTCACCATTTTAAAGTGAACAGTTCAGTGGCATTTAGTACATTCACAATGTTGTGCGACCACCACTTCTATTCAAATGTTCCAGCACATTTTCATCCCCCCAAATGGAAACCTCAGACCCGTTAAAGTAATAACTCCTCATTTCCCCCTCCCACCAGCTCCTGACAATCACCAATTTGCTTTCTGTCTCTACAGATTTGCCTGTTCTGGACATTGCATATAAATGGGATCATATAATACGTGGTATTTTGTGTATATCTTCTTTTACTTAGCATGATGTTTTTGTACCAGAACTTCATTCCCTTTTACAGCTAAATAATATTCTATTATATGGATAGACCACATTTTGTTTATCCATTTGTCCGTTGATGGACACTTGGCTTATTTCCACCTTTTGGCTATTGTGAATAGTGCTAACAGATTAATTTTTGCCTGTTTTATATTTGATGTAACTGGAATTATGAAGTATGTGCTCTTTTGTGACTGCCTTTTGTTCAGTCAAGTTTTTGAAGTTGACTGAGCCATTTTAGGGGGAGAACATTTGCAGTCTTTCCTCAATGCCATCTGGCAACAGAGAGCACTAGGCGCCTTCCATCCTTTGTGGCACTGGATGGGGGTCTTGGCAGGCAGGATGCTGGCTCTCCAGGGAAGCCCAGATGTGAGATCTCACCAGGAGCTCCCAAAAACAGGCTCCACAGGTGACATCAGAAGGCGGTGGGGAAAGATGGAATGTGTGGCATGGGGACGCATCTCACCAGACTGGGCCTAGATACTCTCACCCATGCAGAGCTGGGCCTTACCCAGGTATCCAGGCCTGACCCCAGACACTGCTGTGAGGAAGCCCCTGTGTAACAGTCCTAATAGCAGTTGTCGTTAATTATTCAATTATGGAGCCCAAGTGTTTCTTACCTGGTGCTTCAATTAATTGCTTGTAAACACTCAGGAAAGCGGCCTCAGCCTCCTGACTTCTCTTACTAAGGGCCACCACCTTTGGAAACAACAAGAGAAAGAATCACATGTAACCATGGGGTCCAGGTCTGCAAGCAAATTTGGATCATTTTCTACGTGTACAAATGTGGAATGGGGGCAGGAGAGTGCGGGGACGGGAAATGCAGGCAAAAATATGACTCAGGAGTTATAAACCCTGGCTTCAAATCCCAGCTCCACTGTGTCCCAGCTGTGTGACCTTGGGCAAGCCACTGCCCCTCTCTGATCCTCAGTTTCCTTATGTGTAAAATGGGGATAATAACAGACTCCACTTCCTAGGCCTGTTGTAGCGATTAAATGAAACTGCATATAAGCGCTTAGCACAGGGCCTGGCACACAGTAAGCTATCAGTAGGTATTATTATTATTAAAGGCAACGTTGAAAGTGCAAATATAAGACATTTTGGGGGAAAGTGGAACACATTTGAAGGAAACTTCTTGCTACTAAAAATTTAAAAAAATTGTTGAAGTTCTTACAAGACATCAAGTAGCTTCAACAAATCCCAGAGGGTAAGAGAGTTATGTGAAACTGTTCCCAACATACCAAAGATGCTCAGAAAGTAAATTCTTGACTGAATGAATAAATGAATGACTGGATAACTCAAGTGGTGAAGAGCTATGTTCACATAATCATTCTCTTGCTCATGGAGGTTCTTGTCGGTCAGTGAGAACTGGCGAGATCCTGGGGACAAGCCCTCAACATGTGGGTGAGTCTCTCTCGAAGGGCTTGGTGGGGCTCAGAATCTCACTGCTTGGTGCCTAGAGAGGAATTTCCAGGCTCCGGCCTCACAGCTGCCCTCTTCCTGGAACTCTGCTCTTGGTGGACCAGTCTCCTTGGAAAAGTCTTGGGCCTCCGCTGGCCGAAGTGAGCTCCTGACACCTACAGGTCACTATCTCTACAAATCATCCCTACAAATGCAAGGACACTCGGCTGTATGTTCCTCTTTGGGTTTTATTCTCCCTGGTACTGACACACCTTTCTCTCTGACACCAACTTCCTCAACAATGAATCTACTCAGAGCATCTACCTCTTAATTTCTCTCTTTCAACTCAAGAAAAGGTTTAAACACAGAAGAAAACATTCTTTGATGGTTACGAGGGTGGGGAAGGAGGGTGAGGGTTATTTACTAACTAGATAGTAAACAAGAATTATCTCGGGTGAAGAGAAGGAAATCAACACAACTGGACTAAACCAAAGCTAAGAAGTTTCCTGAATACAATCAAACACTTTGAGGGACAGAGTAGCAGGGGTAGGGGTCTGGGGACCATGCTTTCAGGGGACATCTAGGTCAACTGGCATAACAAAGTTTACTAAGAAAATGTTCTGCATCCTACTTTGGTGAGTGGCATCTGGGGTCTTAAAAGCTTGCAAGTGGCCATCTAAGATGCATCAATTGGTCCCAACCACCTGGAGTAAAGGAGAATGAAGAACACCAAAGACACAAGGAAAGTATCAGCCCAAGAGACAGAAAGGGCCACATAAACCAGACACTTCATTAGCCTGAGACCAGAAAAACTAGACAGTATCCGGCTACTACTGATGACCGCCCTGACAGGGAACACAACAGCGTCCCAGATGGAGCAGGAGAAAAGTGGGGTGCAGAACTCAAATTCTAGTAAGAAGACCAGACTTAATGGTCTGAGACTGGAGGAACCCCAGAAAGCATGGCCCCTGGATTCTCTATCAGCCCAGAACTAAAACAATTTCCAAGGCCAACTCTTCAGACAAGGATTGGACTGGATTGTGGGACATAAAGGGATTCTCTTGAGGAGTGTGCCTCTTAGCTCAAGTAGATACAGGAGACTAAATGGGCAGCTTCTGTCTGCAGGTGAGATGCGAAGGCAGAGAGGGTTAGGAGCTGGTTGAATGGACATGGGGAATCAGGGGTGGAAAGGAGGAATGTGCTGTCACAGTATGGGGAGAGCAATTAGAGTCACATAACAATGTATGCATAATTTTTTCAGGGGAAAAAATTTAAAAAAAAATTAATTTCTCTCTTTCAGATTTGGAAGGCACCCTGGTGGCACAGTGGGTTAGGAGCTTGGCTGATAACCAAAAGGTTGGTGGTTCGAACCCAGTAGCCGCTCCATGGCAGAAAGATGTGGCAATATGCTTCCATAAAGATTTACAGCCTTGGAAACCCTCTGGGGCAGTTCTACTCTGTCCTATAGGGTCGCTATGAGTCGGAATGGACTTGATGGCAATGCGCTTGGTGGTTTTTTGGTTCAGAGTTGGGCTTTGCTCATAAGTTCCAGTGGTGCTGGTTGGGGGAGAAGGAGGGAATCTGTTATCAAATTCCTCCCCCAGCATGTAAGCTCTGTGAGCACAGAGTCTGGCACACAGTAGGTTTTCAGCATGGTTTACTGAATGAACAAATCCAGGTGATTTGCATCAATTCTGGGTCCTGTCTGTGACACTACTTTGGAGTCTCATCTTTACTTCCTGACAGCTGGGGCCATTTCTGAGATGATCTGTTCACAGAGGTAGCTGATCCAGGTGGTTACCAGCACAGACGCAGGAACCAGGCCGCCTGGGTTCAAATCCCAGCTCTGCCACTTACTCACTGTGTGTCCTTGGGCAGGTAACCAAAAAAAAAAAAAAAAAAAAAAACAACCAAACCCACTGCCATTGAGTCGATTCCGACTCACAGCCACCCTATAGGACCAAGTACAACTGCCGCATAGAGTTTCCAAGGAGTGCCTGGCGGATTCGAACTGCCAACCTTTTGGTTAGCAGCCATAGCTCTTAACCACTACGCCACCAGGGTTGGTCACTTAAATTTCAGTGGCTCTATTTCCCCATTGGTGGTGCAAACAGTGAAGCACTTGGCTGCTAACTGAAAGTAGGACGTTTGAACCCACCCAGAGGCTCTGTAGGAGAAAGACCCGACCATCTGCTCCCATAAAGATTACAGGCAAGAAGACCCTATGGGGCAGTTCTACCCTATCACATGGGGTTGCTATGAGTTGGAATTGACTTGATGGCACCCAACAACTACAACAAAATCTCCCCACCTGTGAAATAGAGATCTTAATATAACAGTGTCCCTCAAAGGGTTGCTGGGAGGATCAAATGATTTAATACACATAAAGCCCTTTGAAAATCTGCTGGTACACATTAAGGTCCGTAAATATGTTTCCTCTTGGTACGATCAACCCCCTCCTTCTTGACTGGATAGCGAGAGGGTTTCTGCCCCAGTGCTGGGTGAGAGCTGTGCTTGTCTCTGGTGTCTTACAAAGACCGTCTGAGGAGGCTCCACTTCCTCATCCACTGCGATGCACTCTGGGAAGAAGAGCTGGAGAACCCTCGCAGTTCCTCTAAGTTTGTGCCACCCAAATGGCAGCTGTGAGCCACATGTGCTACTGAGTCCAAATGTGGCGAGCCCAAGTCAAGATGTGCTGTGAGTATAAAATACACACCGGATTTCTAAGACTCAGTATGAAGAAAGAATGTATAATTTTTCATTAAATTTGTTTTATATTGATTACATGTTGAAATGATAATATTTTGAATATACTGGGTGAAATAAAACATATTAAAATTCGTTTAACCTGTTTCTTTTTACTTTTTTAAAGTGTGGCTACTAGAAAATGTAAAATTACATCAATGGATCACATTTTATTCCTATTGGACAGCGTGGCTTGAAGGTTTTACAAGGCCCATACAGAATTTGCTATTTGAGAGAGGTGGAGAGAAAGGTACGGTGGATGTTGAACATGTGGTTTTAAAAAAAGGTCAGTTACCAAAGCTCCTTACGCTCTCTCGTTGTTATTCTGAGAACAGTCCCCGGTCTCCCCCTGGCCGGGATGAATGACGGCCTCTCACTCACTCGACAAGAATTTTCCGAGCAACTACCGGCCAGTGGGGAGATCGACATTAAAGCAGAGTTCCCAGATAATTCATTAATTACAAGTGCTGAACGCTTCAAAGGAAAAATGCAGGGGGCTTTGAGAGTGTGTAAGCAGGGGGACGCTGACCTAGTTTGGTAGGTGGAACGTCAGGAACCATTTCTCTGAGAAGAGGAAGAAAAGCGGGTGGAGGGGGAGGGAGAGAGGGAGAAAGAATGTTCTAGAATCTAGGCAAAGGGAAAAATCACTAAGTGCAGGCAGATTTTTATTCTTACTGAGATGAACAAGACACAATTCCTGCTCTGGGGACTCTTGGTTGAGTGGAAGACAAAGCTACTTTCACGAGGAACCAACCAGAACGCAAACACTGGGGTCTCCTGTGAGGAGCGTGCAGAGGGAGGAATTATTCAGAGCTGGGGGTGGGGGGCATCTCTGATGGGTTAACAACAATAATAATACTGATACATATGATTTAGAACATTTACCATGTGCCAGACGCTCTTACTATTCAAGATCATCTCTCTCCATTGACATACCAATCTCTGAAGGTAGCTGCTGCCATACTCATTGTATGGATGAGGAAACCCAGACTTAGTGAGGTTAAGAAACCTGCCCAAGGTCACCCAGTTAGTAAAGGGCAGAGCCAGGATTCACACCATTTTTCGGGGTTCAAATCGCTGTTCTGAATCCAGACACTGGCCCCCTTTCTTCTGGAGAAAAAAAGCATCCCAGTCCGTGGGGCCAGCCATTCAGACCCCATGAGGACACAAATGACTCGCTAAGTCACCCACGGCTGCACCAGGGCAGGGGCTGCTGTGTTGCCCACCTGGCATCCGAGAAAGCAACGAGAAACAAAAGCAGTTCATCTCACGACTCCTAGATGGAGAATTATCAAAGATGAACCAGCAGAAAGCCCAGATGCCCCACTTTATAGTCATCTATGCAGAGCACATGTGGTGGCCGGAGTTTGGGGAAAGGCACAGAATGTTCCATTGGCTTCTAAAGAGGAATTATGGGCAGGGGTGGGGGCAGGTGCCCAAAAGATTTCTTTAATGTTCCCCATCCCTCCCCACTGCACCCTCTACTTACTCTTCACAGCGCTTATCAGTCTGTAATGGTGTTTTTATCTGTGACTATGTCTTTAAAATGTGGG